GTGCGTGTGCGTGTGTGCCACCGATAAAAAAGAAAGTATCAAGAACAACATCCAGAAATTCGAGTTGCGCCTGCGTGCCGAAGCAGCCGGCTGTGCATTGACGCAACAAGTGCACGCAAGATGCACCGCGACTTGGGGGAGGCTGACGGGGAGGAACAGGGGGAGGGGGAGAGCCAGATAGAGAGAGAGAGAGAGAGAGAGAGAGAGAGAGAGAGAGTGTGTGTGTGAGTGAAAAGGGAACCAGGGTTGGGTGGAGTGAAAAAGGAGGAAAGTAGAAGGTGGAAAGGGGTGAAGCACAGAACGAGGAGAGGCAGAATTAAATGCAAGGCGAGGGAGGGGGCACGAGAAGCGGAGAAAGGGCACGAGGTTGGCACGCGCCGAGTGCAACGATTCACTTGAAGAAAAGAGAGAGAGAGAGAGAGAGAGAGAGAGAGAGAGAGAGAGTGAGTGAGAAAGAACAAGGAGGAGAGAGAAGGAGCGTGTGCATCGTATCGAACGGGAAAGATGCATCCTCGACGAGCAGCTTCTCTCTTTTTTCTTCTTTTCTTCTCCACTCGCTCTCCGTCCCGACGCCGAACGTTTATTTTGCGGTTGATGAAATCAAGGGGACAAGTGATACGGAGGAACACCGCGGCCACACACACACACACACATACTTGGGTGTGCAGGAAATGCAAACAAAGTGCATTCACAGCGAAGCCGGATGACCAGCGGGCCGCAGGGGGGCCTAACTTACCCCCGGTGCCCCCTTGGCGTATCGCGCGCGCCACAACCTGACTGACCTGATACGGCGCCGCGAGGTGCACCGCCGTTGTTATGCAAATGAGAAAAATGCAGCGTCCCATGTTTGTTCCCTGTTGCATCCGCGCAAGTGGGAAAACGTGAGCGCGGGGGAATGGCTGCACTTGACACCTTGCACCGAGGGCTGGTGCAACTTTCGTCAAGTGTCATTTATGACGCAGCGGTTCTCGGATCGTTTTTCTCGTTTCTTGAGCATTTCTCGTACATTTGCGAGTTGAACCGTACCGCAAATTTCGTTTAACTCAACAGGTTTGCGGTGTCGTGTCGCCAACTCTCCAAATGACGCGTGAATATGTCGGATGGAAACCACACGGGGTGAAAACGAGGCGAACCACCGCCACCGTAACACGTCTCAATGGCAACGAAGTTCCCATTGAGATTCAAAGTGTCTCATCTACGCGTTATTAAAGATGCGTACGCGCGAAAGAAAGAAAGAAAGAAAGAAAGAAAGAACGAATATACGTTTAGCATATGAAAAATAAATGGCGCTGGAAATAGTCGCACGGGCACGTAATTGTCGTCACTCGCGAACCGAATTTTCCGTTCGGGTTCTCACACTCACGAAGCTAGAATAACGTCACACATTTGCCAGAGCCTACGGCGGGGGGCCACAAAGAGGCTGATAGAGCCAGTTAAAGGAAATAGAATCAGAAACGCGATGGATCCCATGGAATCATTGTTAAGGATCACGCTGAGGGGCGAGACCCTCTCAAAAGGACTTTAAACTAGTTTCCGCTCGTACCAGTTCGTTTCTCCTGGACACGTCTTCCTTTTTTCTTTTTCTTCTTCTTCTTTTTTTTTTTTTTTTTTTTTCTTTTCCTTCCTTTCCTTTCCCCACTTTCCTCCGCTTCTCCCGCCGCCGTGCACAACTCGGCGCTTTACATTTGAAACATATCGGCTTATATGGAAATGAACGTTTAGCCATGCATCGGCCTTAAACATTGAAAATGTTTGAAAGAGCGCCGCTCGCTGCTGGACACACGCGAGCAGCGCGAAAGAGGACAACTCGGAAGTGATGCTCGTACATTCATGTGCATGCATGCATACATACATACATACATACATACATACACGTCCCTTCGAATCTGAATTGTCCGATCTCTCTCTATTGTCGGAATCGACCCATCTTTATTTAGATCCCCCGTCTAATCTCTCTCTCTCTTTCTCTCTCTCTCTGCCAGCTATCACGCAAGGAGAAAGGAAAGAATTTCATTTAAAACGGCCGGAAGAAAGAAAAGAACGGTTACGTTCGTCACCCTAATTTGACCCTTGACAGTGTGGCGCTCGCCAAGAGTTTCTAACTCTCCTATGTCAAGAGCGAAAGGTTCTAGGGGTTTCTCTCAAACATGGTGACTCCCGGAGCAAATTTTATTTTCTGCAAGCATGTATATAAACTGGGAATACGAAATGAAACGAATTTGCTGATAATGATATTATGATAAAATTATAAAGGAAATTCATACTAAATTCGAAATTGGTTTGAGAAACTTTTTAGTTTCTTGGCTTACTGACTTGTTTATCATCTCATGGCTTTCACACTGTCGTTTGAAAGTATCTCTATCGCGAAATAACAATAGTGACCAGTTAACTGCGGCACTTAGTTTCAAAAATCCCTCGCGGGACGCGTAATTAAAAATCGAGCAATGACGAGCGTACGCGTCGAACGCAGGGCGAGTGCCTCCTATTATAAATTTCACGAAGAAAGTGAAGCAAAAATTGAAAAACTTGAAAATTGTTGAAAAATAATAAAATTCGCAAACAAGACGAATTAAGGGAAAAAAAAAAGAAAAAGAGAAGTCTCAGTTGATCTTCGTACTTCTCTTCAAAAATCAAATGCTTCTTTTTCTTTGTCGCTTCATATTCATTTCGAAATAACCCCTAATCTTTGTGAGCAGTCTTCTCGACGCTACGCTGTAAACTACAGTCTCGTTCCCAATAAAAGAGTTTGGATCGTTGATGCGATCGGACAACCGAATTAAGAGCGATCGTCCGGCTCTTTTGCACGTTTTTGCGCTTTTAATTGCTCTTATCTGCCCACCGAGTCGAGTATCATCAAACGAGCAGCAACAAATCCTCGGTTTATACCATTTGCACGCTCCGTATCGCGTCGATAAGGTTTTCACGTGGCAGGAGGAATCACTCGTGGCGGTGCGAGTCGAGGAGAAACGGAGAAAGGACGGAAGGAGGTGGTCGGGGGATGGTGAAATAACAGATTGCAGTTGTGGCACGAGCGAGCAGCCTGTGGACTCGGCTCGAGGCTCGTAAGGAGAAGGCAGGTGCCACATTTTTTTTCCCGAACGCCTGGCTTCACCGTCCAGAAGGAGGCTGTCTCGATGCACAGAGGCTCCCAAACTTTTCTAACGCCGCGTGTACGTACGTGTGTTCTCCGGTTCTCAAAGAGAGTCGTTCGAAAAACGAAAACACAAGAAGTCAATTTAACCCCTTGATTCATAATGTCGGGGCCAAGGTCTCGGACTTAAAAAGAGAAAATAAATTGCGAACCTACGAAATTTCAGACTTTGAAACTTAATTTCATTCAACTGAACACTGACAAGTAAAAATTGCATACAACGTTTCGATACTTTGATATCTTAAATTAACCTTTAAGTTTAAGTTTGAATAAGTGCTTACTCTTTAAAATTCGAGGAGAAAATCGTAAGGCAAGGGGTTGACAAATCGGTAAAATGCCACTTTCGAGGGATGTATTTAAAGTTTATTGATTAATAGATGGTCCTTCGTTAAGGTCCGCGGCGAAAAATCAAAATGGCGGAGCACGTAAACAAGGCAGATACACGTGTACGTGGAAAAACTGTGTCGGCAAACATCGTAATAATTGATAATACGTACCATATTGATCCATACATATAGCAGCATGGAAAAGAAATGTTGCAAATGTAATTTGTGATTTCATTCGAGTTTCCATGCATATACACAAACATACACAATGACATTGTCTAAAAATCGCTACAGTGTTACAGATATCAAAGTCTACTAGCACTTGTCACACTTGTCACATCAGATGGGAAAATCACGTGACAATCATCGATAAGGAAGTTTGGCTCCATCGGTAAAATCGGTGACTTTCCTATTATGAAGAAACGAGGGGGGAGGTTAAACACTACCAAAGTAGTTAAATGACTAATTTATAATTTCCGTTAGATACTTTATAGACGTGATAACACTGTATCTTTAACGATTTAAATAATTTTTTGTAAAATACGTAAATGAAAGCTTGTACACATTATAAAGTTTCTCTATCTTTTTGATTGCGATGTCTCTGATGGAAATTTTATGTTTCAATCATCGGTAGTCCCAGTGTCGGAAGCAACTCGAAAGCAATTATTTGAAATTCGTAAGACGACCGAGTTGAATGAGTTCCACTGCGGATATAATCCCCGACGATTTTTGCTTGGACACGTTCGGCACGAGTTTAAAAACTCTCGTGCGCGCGCGCGAGCGAGGGCACGTTTACTCGCGTGCGGCCAATTATGCAGCTCGTTACGCCGGTATTACGCGTGATCTCTCTTTTGATCGAGAAATTGCCTAAGGTTAATAACCCTTGCTCGAGTTTGTGCAAGCGATTACGCGAAATTTCATCCGAAGACAAATGGACTATTAGCACGTAAGAACAAGTTTGCACGGGGCTGCTGCTCTCTCTCCGTTTGCACGGTAGCCGGGGCGCATCCGACAACCTGACGAGTCCCTGAACGCTTTCTCTCTCTCTCTCTCTCTCTCTGTCTCTCGAAATACTTGATACGTAATACGCGTGTAAGCAAGTGTAACTCGGCAGGCGTTACCCCGCACGCTCGCGAAATTTACGATCGGTTTTAAAGAACGGCGGTTAACAATATTCTTGGTTAGGGTAACTTTTTAATTATAACCGTGGCAAGACGTTTCATGGCTAATTTATTTAATACGTACGTACACAGTAACGTAATACGTGGGCACGCGTCTCTCTCTACCACGCGTGCGCACAAGTCAATGCATACACGTACTGCGCATGCGTAAGCGAACTTTGTTTTCTACCTTCGAGCGTCGAGAGTATCGGGGAAGATCAATCAGATCAACTTACTCGCAATTAACCGGTGGTAATTGCCGCTCGGTTGGCAATTTACGGTACGATACTCGGTTTTGCAAATTCGTGCACGATTCTACGTGAGAGGAAAAAAACACAGGACAAAAGTTGTTGAGAAACTCACCGTTTCTTCGGCCCGCTAGCTACAGACGGCTCCACGACAAGCGTCGATCCGAGGTACGTGTATCCTGAAACGAAAAAAACAACTTTGAGCCTTCGATTGGTTTCGTTGTTTAAAAAAAAGAAAAAAATCATTTTCAGTGTTACACAATGGAAGTGAAAGGAACATGAACAAAGCACGATGAAGCAAAACACGCTCGGTGGTGAAATTTTCTCATAGCACAATCGGTGAAAATAGAAGAATCGGTTTTATTGGGTCAGTCACGGTACAACCTGTTTTGGAACCGATGGTTCGTTTGAACTCTGACCCTGGCCCCCGGAGGATAGCGACCGATGGGATATTTTCTCATAGAGAAATATGCCGTACACCGGTTTTGAAAAGTGGAACTCTGGACGGTTGCTTCCGGGTTTTGGGTTGGCGGAACGCTGAAAATCGCTGCCGCCTGATTCCAAGACTTGGTACTCTTACGTTGGTACCTCGCTCGTATTCTAATCAGGATCAAGAGGTTATGTGAACGTATCGGTGGTCATAGTCTCGTGGCCAGCGAATTTTCGGACACGATCCCGAGGGTCGGTTTCTCGGCGTCCATAGTGTATGTATATAAGTGCATGTATACACAAGTATTTCCTTTCCTAGGCACCAGGTGTCTTCTGCCAGTTAGACCCGTCTAATTTTCTCTAACCAGTTCCTCTTTTCAAGTGTATATTACAAAAAAATCTATGAAACCACCTTTGTCGGTCATTCGAACTGACCGTTTTCGCTCGCCTCATCGTTGCTTACGTAACATATATATATATATATACACATATATGTAAAAGAAACAAATATTTCTGCAAACGTATGACAAAAACTACTACACTTGGATGTAAGTACGTAGATTTAAAAAGAAAAGTGCAATTGCACTCAGTGTTAAGAAAATAAATCAAATTGGAAGAAGACAATTTAAACGTGGATTGTAAATTAAAACAGCAATCTTTTAGGTTAGATTACTAGACTTTGGACGTATGTAGATTAAAAAAAAAAAGTGCAATCGCTCCCATTATAAAGAAAATATGTAAAATCGGGAAAAATAGAAAAGAGAGATTTCAAACGTGGACTGTAGCTTAAAACAACAATCTTTTAGGTTAGGTTACTACACTTGGACTAAGTACGTAGATCTAAGAAAAAAAAAAGTGTATTTGCTCTCGGTATAAAGAAAATATATAAAATCGGGGGAAAGGAAGATTTCAAATGCGGATTGCACTTGAAAACAACAATCTTTTAGGTTAAGTTTAAAGTCGCTGACATTAGTAGGTCGTTAAAACGAGATGTTCTCGTTGATCTTAATAATTTTGCTTAAATTTTCAATTCGTATTATTCCAAAAGATAAAAGTGCACGGTAGAGATGAGTACGTAGTTGGATCTGTTTCTCAGATTTCTTGCAGGTTAGGAACTAGCTAACTTTAGGAAACCTATAAAGGCCGTGTTCGGTCGTAAATAAGTTATCTATTAGAAATGATTCGTCTCCGCTAGAATTAGTTACAGTTGTTGGACGCTGTAAGTAAATAAATAGGCATATACAAATATAAATACAAATATATATGTATATATGTATATGTACATGGGGTTATTGGCAATCGTGGCAGATCGCGGCAAATCGTCGTTAGACATGGATAACGATCTCGGCGCTTCTCATTTTTGTGCGCGGAGTGGTGTTTTTTTTTTTTTTTTTTCTGAACGAGCCGAGCCCGCTTCAGAAAAACCGGGTAGATCTCTCTTGCGTGGTACAATGGCGTGTGGCGAGTGGCGGAATTGTGCTCGCGAGGAGTCTATTAAATGCAGCAGAATGCTCAGCACAATGAGGGTATATAATATAACCTACCGGGCGGACTAGCTTGGGAATTCGAATGAATTAAAAATGCGTGTATTAAAGGTAAAAAAAAGAAAAAAAAAAGAAGAAGAAAAAACGACGAGAGGAAGATGGCGTTACGGTATCTTGCTCGATATTGAGAGTGAAAAGAGGCACAGCGATAAACTCAGGGGAAGAGAAAAGAAGGAAGTAGCGCTCTTAAATGGCTACTTAGTACGGCTCCGTGTCGAGCGAGAGCCTCCCCTCTCGAATAGTTCATCTCTCGCTCATCTGTGTAGCAATAATATTCGCAAGTGTTTCCAAGCACGAGTGCTCGGAACCCGTGAGTGCCAACAGGTTTCATGCGAAAGCCAATTCGCGACAGAAAGAAGGTGAGAATGAAACGAGAGGGGAGGCATGAGTTTGACGAGGTTTTAATTTGATTCTTATCCCGCGTTAAATTCGACGTGTGTGCTTTTACGCTCGGTTTCACGTGTTTGCCATTTAGGAGGCTATTACTATGGGGGCTGTAACTGTATGTACGACTTTAACTATGTAGCAGGAGCTCTCTAATTGCCGACAACTGTCAACAAATTCAACTGTTCATGAAGATCGCACGAATAACGTTTTCGAATGAGTTGATACTGGTAAGTATCTGGAAGTGCAAATAAAACTGGTTTTATTTTCGAAATTTCAACGAAGCTGCCCTTGCTCGAAATTAACTTCACTTTGATTTTCGCTCATATTTTATTGTACGTTCAACTGCAGGAGACAAGAGCCTCGTGGCTGATCGATTCAAACGTGGTGATATTCCGCTACGACAAAATAGAACCAGCACGTTTCTCCGGATGCACGGGATCGAAGGGAAGAGAAAAGAAAGCGGAAGCATCGGTTTCGAAAATGGGACACCCGTTATACGCCTAAAATATACCGGCATCTCGCATGGGGCGCGCTGCTAAGAAATGCAGAAACAGCAGTTGCTATGCTAGGTGGTACTCCCTACAAACACACGCGTACCATACGCGCCAGGATACACACGCTCGAATTTCTCTCCTTCTTTCTAAGCATCAGTGAAATTCATGCCCGCAACAGAGAAAGAGAGAAAAAGAGAGAGAGAGAGAAACGCGCGCAAGCACACAGGCGCAACGAGCACGCTCGTACACGTAGAGAAGGGTACGCGCGCGTCTTCTTACCCGGTCACACAGAGATTTTTCGGGGGGTTCGGGCTCTGCGTGTACGCGGCTCTGTGTGCTCGTCGCGCAACGTACTTACACATTCGTGTGCAAGAGGGAGTAGAAGAGAGCGAACTAGAAAAAAAAGAGAGAACGAGCGAGAGAAAGAGCAGGAGAGAGAAGGAAACGAGCGGCCGGGTGAAGAGGGTAGGAGGGGACGAGAGAGAGGAAGCGAGAACACGAGGGGTGTAGCCGTGGTTGGTGGTGGTGGTGGTGGTGGTATGTATTAGAACGGGCAGCGAGAAGGGAAGAGAAAAAAAAAGGGAGTGGAAATGAGATAGGGAAGGCAGTGTACGAGGGACGACAAAGTGAAAGAGAGAACAGGATGGAAAAAGAGAGAAAGAGAGAGAGAGAAGAGGAACGAAGAGAGAAAGAAGCCGTTTGAGCTAAACGTATCCAGGGTCTAGAGAAGCGAGTTTTCGGATCGAGTCGGTGTATGTGGGCAAGAGAGTAGGTTAGCAGGCTCTCCCGAGGGAGAGAGTAATAGCAGATTGTCCTGTTGAACGAGCAGGACGGCAAGTGCCTTTATAGTGGGTCAGTACTAGCCGGCACCCGGCTAGCAAGCCTTCAAGGTCTCCTTAGTGCTCCTACCTCCTCCCTCCCAACCCGCCATCTTCCCTGCTGTTGCCTACAACGAAAACTGCCAGGTAGGTGAGCCAAGAGCGAGCGAGCAAGCGAGACCCCGAGAGCTTAGGAGAGCTATCCGGAGAGGTCGTCGCACACAATCTATCTAATATATATTCATTCTTTTTCTCTCTCTCTCTCTCTCTCTTTTACCTCTTTCTTTTTGCCTCGCTGTACCTTCCTTTCTCTTCTTCGTCCCTCTTTCACGATACAGCTTACCGGTTTCTAACTTAAATTTTCGTCAATTTCTGCCTCGCAACGGGACGCGGCCAAGTGCCTCGAAGAAACCTTTCTCGTTAACCGATACGTCGAATTTGTATAAAAAAAAAATAAAAAAAAAAAAAAAAAACGAAA